AAGAGTTGGACTCGACTGTGCGACTGAACAGCAACAACAAAAAGCTAATGGGGGTCTATTTTTTTCTAGTAACTAGGAAGCCCTTTTCATATTGTCCTTCCTGTGGGAATGTGTGCATGGGGTTATCTCCACTAATTCCCTTTCTGACCATCTTATGCTTGAGGCCCTGCATGCATAGCTTCTACGCCCATACATCTGCACTCACGTTGGCTCCTATGTGCAGGACCCATAGCCTCCATTTCATAAGGGTTTAGGTCCCATGTATGCAAATCCTATGTACATTGTGGTATAAGTGCACAGACTCTGCACATGGGGCTTTAAAGTAAGAAAGTAGGGTCACAAAACCTGCCTCCAGGTATTCATTTTTATATGGATGAATGTGTGAACAGGGCTAAATGGATCTAATAATAAATCTTTCCTAAAGTTCTCATAGTAATGAGGATGTCGCCTAAATTAAGGTGCAGCAATTAAATCAGAGTTTGGTTGTGTAGGGGGTGGTAACTTCATAATATATTTTCATATCTATTTTCATTCGTCACAAACTTCCCTTTGTGTTCATCTCCATTTTGGGTTACCACCTAGCTCTCCCTCCCTTTAGTAAAGGTCTTCGTACTCCACTGAAACAGCTGTAGCTGTGGCCTGCAGCCTGGTGTTCCTCTTGGGAGTCTCGTGTTGCCAATTCTGGGTTGGGAAACTCCTGGAGATTTGAGGCTGGAGTCTGGGAGGGGTTGGGTTTGATGATGGGAGGGACCTCAGCAGGATGCAATGCCACAGAGTCCAGCCTCCAATGTAGCCATTTTCTCCAGGGGAACTGATATCTGTCATCTGGAAATCAGTTGTAATTCCAGAAGATCTCCAGGCCCCACCTGAAGGCTGGCAATGCTGTCCATATGTTTACTTTCCTCCTAATGCTCAGTGAACCCAAAATGTCATTTTGTCAGGTAGGGCCACGTGAGCCATAAAACGTAATGCCAGGTACCGAAGATATAAACTATAAAGGACAGCAGCTGGTAAGCTCCGAGTTGGTGTATCCTCTCTGCAGGGCCCAATGGGCTGGGAGGGGGGGTGCAAAGGAAAACCCACGGGGGCAGACTGGAGAGCCAGCAGTGCACCACTGGGCAGACGCTCCCACACTGCTTGACTGCTGCAGACGAGGTTGTTCCACCTTGCTGAAGCCACAATCAGAGTGGCCCTGCCCACTACCCACCCCCAAACAGTCTCCTGTTCCCCCTCTTGCACTAGTTGCTCAGGGGGCTGCATAAGAGCTCTGGATGGGCCGGTTCCGAGTTTGACACTCCTGCTCTAGAACATCCAACCCTTTGGCATGAGGTAGATCCCAGGTGATTCTGGAGATTTCTCCATCCCAATCAGTGTTGTCTCTGCAGATGCTCTACTTCACAAACAACAAGCTCTACAAACCAGGCTCTCAGGCGGAACGGCTAAGCCTCCTTCATGACCCACCCACTCTGGGGGATGCATCCCTTCGATTAGTCAATGTGCGTAAATCTGACGCCGGCACCTACTTCTGTGAAGTAAATGACCCTCCAGACTTCTATGGAACTGGCTCTGGGCATATCAATTTTGTAGTTTTAAGTAAGTCTGATTTTACCCATAATGGGGGAAGGGACATGTATGTCTCTGTGTACACTATGATTCTCTGAAATCGCAAGTGGGGGGAGGCACAGAATTCAGCATCCTGAGAAACTTAAGTTTTTATATTTCAAAAGAGCAAGCTTCTAGCCCTCATGGTTATGAAGATATTATTGGAATTGTGGGGGCAATGCCTAGTGCCATGGCAAACTTCAGTATTTGGGGGCAGGACAACAAGATCCCAACCCCCCGTGCCTATTTGGCATTTTGAGACCACTGGAGATTTTTTCTTAATTTAAAAAAGATGCTAATCTGAGTACACCTACTGTGGAATGGCCATTCTTCATTTTTCAGTCCCTCTTAGAGAAGCAAATGGACATTCTTGACTAGTGTGCACGTATAATAATTCTTGTGCATGAACACTAAGTCACCACACAATGCATGTTCTGGAAATGGGAGGAGGCGCGTGTGGGGGTTATAAGTTATTTTTGTATTATTTTTTTTCTTTACAAAATCAAGTCCCTGGTTTTTTTTCCCTGAGAGAGGGTAAAGGGGATGCACCAGGCTTCATTAGTAGCAAAAAACATCCATATACTTTGGCCTGCATCAGGATACTTTTTAGAGAGTGCTTTCAGTGTTCAATGTGCTTAATGTATATTATCATGCCATAAATCTTGCAGCCACCCTGGAAAATAGACCATTCTTATTGTCTCCGTAATTCTGTGGGGCTGAGGGGTTCACCCAAGGCCAACTGGCAAGCTTGTGGCAGAGGTATGATTCGAACCAGGGCCATCCCACGCCTGGATCACATCTTTTAGCTTCACCAGCTCACATTCAGTCACAGATTTCTCTTCTCCTTTCCCCCATCAGTGCCTCCATCCAGTCCAGTGTGCAAAGGGACTGCCTATGCTCCCCTGGGGTCAGATGCCACCTTGTCCTGCAGCTCTTCTGAAGGTGTGCCAGCACCCATTTACTCATGGACTCGGGTGGACCCCAAGACTCCACTCCCTCTCTCCAACATGGTAAAAAGTAGGTGGTCTGCTCAGTGGCTTTAATGTCTTGTTTTGTGAAGTCAGAGCTGTAGACGTCACTTTTAAAAGCAACAGCTTTTGTGTGTGTGCAATGTTGTGTATGTGCAATGCTTGCAGGCAGCCAACAGGCGGTGTGGCTGCTGCAGACTGGTTTTGAGCTACCGGGGAAGCTGATCTTCTATCAGAGTGTTTTGCATTCCCATTTGCAAACCAGGCGGAAGACGTTCTTCTTTGCTTTTTCGTCAGTCATTCCAACCCTTGGTTCAGATCTCTTCTGCCTAGTTGGGGAGGAAAAAAAGGCTTTGAAAACACATCTTTAAGAACCTAGCCCAAGCCAAAACAAAAAAACCCTCCCCTACACACACTGACATCAAAGCCAACAATCACCTGCCTCTCTTTTGATTCTTTCTCAAAGGAATGTGATCAAAGACAATTCAAGAAAATGCCAGCAAATAGTTTCAGAAGATTCACTTTCCCTAAAAGTAGAACAGGAATGTCCTTGTGGGGGGGGGGGTTGTCACTCTTGCTATCCGTTGGGCTTTCCGCATGCTTCTCTTTAGCTTTTTTAAAAAAACCACGAATACCATCCCTTCTCTAATCATGTCTTCGTTTCTTTCTAATATTCCATTTATTTATTTATTCACTTTATTTTATATTTCATCTTTCACCCCAGCGGGGGACCTAGAGTGGCTCACATCATTCTCCCCTCCTCCATTGTATCCTCACAACAGCCCTGTGAGGTAGGCTAGGATGAAAGGGGTGTGAATGATCCAAGGTCACCCAGCGAGCTTCCATGGCATGAGTGGGGATTCGAACCTGGATTGAATGGAGTAGAGAAGCCGGGGTGGTGGTTTCCAAACTTATCTGAAACAGACTTTTGAAATCATAGAAGTCCCCTGGGGAGGACCAAGAACCCTTCCATAAAGGAGGCTGCCTACCGTGTCTCTCTCTACAAGACTGATCAGCACTCTGGCCTTGTCGTTTTCTTCTCTTTGTCTTCTGCCATGGGAGACAAGTCCCATACTGCCTCTGTCTTTTGTGTAACTGGAGCATTTAATAACACACACACACACACCGCTAAAGTGTGGCAGTATTGGCTGTCATCAGAGGAGGTTGCTTCTTGTGGCTCTCCGTTGTGGCCGTGCAGCCGCTTTATAAAATATTTATACAGATTATTTTAATGCCTATTGCCATTTAATATTCATATTTCCCCATTCTTTATGAAGAGATAAGGCAATTTGGCTAAAACCATGAGTTGCTGATCATGAAGAAGGCCCAGAACAATGATATGCAGAAAAAGACATGGATGGCAATGCACAAAGGGCATTTGGGTCACACACAGGGCTATTTTGGGGCAGGAACGCACAGGAACGGAGTTCCAGCTGGCTCCTGAGTTGGCCACGCCCAATTGGCTGTCATCAGAGGAGGTTGCTTCTTGTGGCTCTCCGTTGTGGCCGTGCAGCCGCTTTATAAAATATTTATACAGATTATTTTAATGCCTATTGCCATTTAATATTAATATTTCCCCATTCTTTATGAAGAGATAAGGCAATTTGGCTAAAACCATGAGTTGCTGATCATGAAGAAGGCCCAGAACAATGATATGCAGGAAAAGACATGGGTGGCAATGCACAAAAGGCATTTGGGTCACAAGAAAAACCCAGTAACAGCAATAGAACGGATAGAACGGATAAAAGGAAGTACTTCTTCACCCAAAGAGTGATTAACACTTGGAATTCACTGCCACAGGGAGTGGTGGCGGCTACAAGTATGGATGGCTTCAAAAGGGAATTAGATAAGCATATGGAGCAGAGGTCCATCAGTGGCTATTAGACACAAGGTATAGATAGGGACTCTGGGGCAAGTGATGCTCTGCCTTCTTGGTGCTTGGGGGGGTCAATAGTGGGAGGGCTTCTAATGTCCTGGCCCCACTGGTGGACCTCCTGATGGCACTGGCATTTCTGGCCACTGTGTGATACAGAGTGTTGGACTGGATGGGCCTTTGGCCTGATCCAACATTGGTGTCTCTTATGTTCTTATGTTAATAGCATCAGACCAGCAATAATAAAAGCATACGGTTATTCATATGAGGAAGGGCAAAAGTGAGGGGACACACCACCACCCAATTTACAGCACAGTCAATGCATTGCGCAAACGACTTTGTTTCATCTGTCCCGAATCTGCTGTCTGGCAGGTTCTTTAGGTGCCCCTTTACTCTTCAGCTGTGGGAAAGAGGGGAAATGTTGCCGCTCAGTTTTTTCAGCAACATCTATACACCTCTATCGATACTTCTGCACAAGATCGCCATGATATGTCAAGAGACTGATTTCTGTATGCATATTCCCAACTGAATGGAGAGCCACCACGTACGCAAATAGTGGCTCTGCACTCCAGCCTGATCTAGCAGCTGGGGCAGGGCACACATGATAGAAAGTGCTGTGAAGGCGCAGCTGACTTGGGTCTGGCAGGTTCTTTAGGTGCCCCTTTACTCTTCAGCTGTGGGAAAGAGGGGAAATGTTGCCGCTCAGTTTTTTCAGCAACATCTATACACCTCTATCGATACTTCTGCACAAGATCTCCATGATATGTCAAGAGACTGGTTTCTGTATGCATATTCCCAACTGAATGGAGAGCGACATATGCCTGATCCAGCAGCTGGGACAGGACACACATGGTAGAAAGTGCTGTGAAGTCGCAGCTGACTTGGACTGACTTCACAGGGTTTTCCAGGCAAGAGACGTTCAGAGGTGGTTTGCCATGGCCTACCTCTGTGCAGTGACCCTGGACTCCCTTGGTAGTCTCCCATCCAAATACTAACCAGGGCTGACCCTGCTTAGCTTCCGAGATCCGATGACATCACGCTAATGTGGACCATGCAGGTCAGAGCACAGTGTACACACTGCCCTTTAAAAAAGAAAATCTGGATTCCTGCCTGTCTGTCAACTGAAGGGGACTAAGATGGTGGTTTCAGTCCCTCCCACACCCACTTCTCCCCAAACAACTGGTTGGTAGGGTTTCATCTTTCCAAAAAGGACTGATGTGACTAAGTCAAGCGGCTCCACAAACATACTGTTGAATACTAGCCTTGGTTTCTAAAGTTTCTAAACCAAGCAATAGACATAAGTGGTAAGATTGGACAAATGGTCAGGTTGAAAAACAACAACACAAATTCAATTTTTCTGCAAGGAAATTCCAGCCAGAAGAATTTCCTTGCCAGTTTGGTGTAGTGGTTAAGAGTGATGGACTTTAATCTGGGAGAACCAGATTTGATTCCCCACTCCTCCACATGAAAGCCAGCTGGTTGACCTTGGGTCAGTCACAGTTCTCTCAGAGCTGTTCTGTTAAGAGCAGTTCTCTCAGAGCTGTTCTCTCAGAGCTCTCTCAGCCCCACCTACCTCACAGGGTGTCTGTTGTGGGGAGAGGAAGGGAGGAGACTGTAAACTGCCCTGAGACTCCAAGTGAAGGGTAGGGTATAAATCCAACTCTTCTTCTCCTCCTCCTCCTCCTCCTCCCCTGTCCTGAATATTCACCACTGCTGTGGCCTAAAGTATAGATTGCTGACTTTTCCATAAACTGTCTGTCCTACAGAAAACCGAAGGCTTGTTTTCTCCACCACTGGCTTCCATTTTTATTCTGTCTTCCTTTCCTGCCCACAGATGAACAAACTGGGAGCCTGCTGTTGACAAACGTCTCACAAGAATTCTCTGGGACATATCAATGTATTGCCTCCAATGAGTACGGTCAGGAAAGCTGCCAGATATCCCTCCATGTGACAGGTGAGCACGGGCTTACAGGTTACAAGACCTGAGCATTCTTCTGCTTTACCTCCTCTCTGCGCGGCTGCCCCTCAGCAATGGCCTTTGGGTGTTATCCCCAGGGAACCAAAAGCTATGGTTTTTGCTTCACAAAATTCACCAATAATAAACAGCATTAACTAAAGAACTTTACTTAAGGTCCTGGAATTTCTTGCCAGCCTTCCTTCTCTAGAGGGGAGGAGATGCGGAATTGCATTAGATCCCACAGAGCCCAGACGTCACTAGGCAGAGAGTTCCACCAGACCGGTGCCAGGGCCGAAAAGGCCCCGACTCTGGTTGAGGACAGCAAGATATCCTTTGGGCCAGGGATCGCCAGGAGGCTCTTATCTCCAGAGCATAATGCCCTTCAGGGGGGTATATAGGGAGAGGCGATACCAACACTGAGGTTGGTAACCCTATTGCCAAGTGCCCTTCTGCCTACTCCTGGTATCTATGTATCTAATAGCCAAGGTCCCTTCTGTGTGCGGATACTTATTTCCGTGGATCTGGGTCACATGGAGGGTAAACAGATCTTCCAGCAAACTTGGGATAGTCCCCATGTTTGCAGAAAAATCTAAAATGTTTTTTAAAGTATACAGGGATACTTAAATCCCCTCAAAAGTCAAACTGCTTACTCTGCGCAAGCGCAGATGACGGACTTCCTGAGTCGCGGGAAAAGCTGCTGGAGCCAGGGGGGAAGCTAAAACCACAATAGCTGTGCGCCCTGCTGCACCCGCGCCAGGACCGCCGACAAGGGAATTGTCTGCTGGGGGGAGAGAAAGAAAAGAATGGGAGATTGACTGAGGGAGAGAAAGAGAAAGAGGAAGGGGAGATTGGGGGGGTAGAGAAATAGTGGAGAGTAAGAGAGGGGCAGACTGAGAAGGAGAGGGGGGGAAAGGGCATTGAGAAGGGCTGGGATAAGAGGGGGTGAGACATACAAGGGGTGAGAGGAGAAGGGGGTAAGAAAGGATTGCTAGAGAATGCTCCCTCTAAGCTGCGGAGTCTCATGAGCAAAGATTCTACTTTGTGAGCTCCTGGCATTAAAGTTGTGAGCGAGCAATTTGGCTGCTGCATAACTTAGTTTGGCTCTGGAGCCGTCCTTACTGAGCTAAGACAAAAATGTGCGAGCAGGGGGCTAAAAAACTGAGCTAGCTCACACTAACTCAGCTTAGAGGGAGCACTGGTAGGGAAGAAAGCTGACACAGAAGGGGTGAGAGGAGAAGGGGAAGTGAGGGAAGATTAGTAGATAAAGGGTGCTTGCGGAAAGAAAGAGGAGGGCACTTTGACAATCAAGGGGGGGAGAGGGGGGAAAAGGTAGGGGAATGCCCCCTCCCCACAAGTTACTTGCGAGGACTGCCTGCAACAAAGACTATGGTAGGGCCACAATACATTATGCAACATTTTATTGCGGGTCCCCTCTTGTAGTGTCTAAGGGCCAAACGACAAAAAAATATATATTTACAGTTGAGTCTGCTCACTTTTGCCTCAGTTACCCGGCAGCTGCAAGGAATATCACTTTCAAAGCCTACAGGGGCCATTTTGGCTCAGGACCAGGGCTATTTTTGGGCGGGAACGCAGAGGAATGGAGTTCCAGCTGGCTTCCAAGTTGGCCACGCCCAGCAGGAACTCATTAGCATAATAGGCCACACCCATCAGCAGGAGCTCATTAGGATTGGCTACATTAGGGGTGTGTGGCCTAACATGCAAAGGAGTTCCTGCTACAAAAAAAAGCCCTGGGTTTTGACAACAAACAAGGTAAACAGAATAACAAGCAAAAGGTGGGTGTGGCTGGATGACCACACTTCTGGTAACAGGGGTGTGTGGCCTAATGTGCTAATGAGCTGTGCTGTCAGGGGTGTGGCCCAATATGCTAATGAGTTTCTGCTGTTGGGTGTGGCCTATTATGCTAATGAGTTCCTGCTGGGCTTTTTCTACAAAAAAAGCCCTGCTCAGGACAATGGCATGGGGGGGGGGGGCTCCTGCCTTCCCCACACACTTTTTTCCTGAGCTGAAAGGACCTCTGTGGGGAGTTGTGTACCTTTGGAGCTGCACGTGGAAGATTCCGAGTAGGTGCTGCTTCAAAGTCAGGCAAATAACGCCATTATCCCAGAAAAACAAAGACATCTGAACTACTTTGAAAACTCTGAAAACTGCTACATGTTATTATTAAGTATTACAAGCGGGGGACCCCCAAGGACTTGCAAGGGGCATCTCATTTTCTCGTCCCCACTATTTCCCCTTCCCCTTCACTGAAAGCTCCTACAGCCTCCTCCATTCCCACCCACCAACCAGGTTCCCTTTATCTGCCCCCTGTCTTCAGCTTTTCCCTCCTTCCCTCCCCCTGGCAGTCTCTGTCTGGGAAAACTCTGTGTGGTTCTGGCTGCTGGGCTGGACCCAGTTGCGCTGTGGGGAACCTGCAAGAACTTGTGGGGGCACCTCAATAATTTCACCGGTATCCCCCTCCCCACACTAGTTCTTCTTTTCTTCCTTTTGGCAGCCCCCATACCTCTCTTTTCCCTACTTCCTTTTTTTTTCATACCCACCCACCAACCAGGTTCCCTTTATCTGCCCCCTGTCTTCAGCTTTTCCCTCCTTCCCTCCCCCTGGCAGTCTCTGTCTGGGAAAACTCTGTGTGGTTCTGGCTGCTGGGCTGGACCCAGTTGCGCTGTGGGGAACCTGCAAGAACTTGGGGGGCACCTAAATAATTTCACCGGTATCCCCCTCCCCACACTAGTTCTTCTTTTCTTCCTTTTGGCAGCCCCCATATCCTCTCTTTTTCCTACTTCCTTTTTTTTCCATACCCACCCACCAACTTTTATTTGCCCTCCATCTTCAGCTATATTTATTATTTATTCACTTCATTTGTATCCAGCCTTTCTCCCCAATGGGGAACCAAAGTGACTTAAATCATTATCCTCTCTTCCATTTTATCCTCACAACAACCCTGTGAAGTAGGTTAGGCTGAGAGTGTGTGACTGGCCCAAAGTCACCCACTGAGCTTCCATGGAAGAGTGGCAGTTCTAACCACTACACCACACTGACTTTCGTGGGGTGACTTCTGTTGAACAATAGCAAGCAACTGGGCCAGGGTGTCACACAAGTTGAGTGGTAGTAAGTTACCGAGTGGGTACTTGTGGCCTGGCCTCAATGAATTCTCAACAGCCCTGAAAAGGCCCCTGCTTTTTTCCTTGCCTTTTACTGGCAGAAACCAAGGCTTGAAGTCTGGCAATACAGTTGTGGTTGCCTAGCGATGGCCACTGAAGACATTAATTTCATGAAATATACAGACACTGATTCTATTATTTTGGAATTTTTAAATCCAAACCTGGGGTTTTCTTCAGGTTTATCGAAAGATCTGTCTTGCATGTTCATGCTCTCAGTCTCTGGATTTAAGTATCCACAGAGGGGCCATGTTGAAAAGTAGGTATACTGTTGAACAGTGAATGCACTGGGGTAGGTATAATTGCTTTTTGCATATGTCTTTGTACAATAAGGAGCTGCGGTGGCTCAAGTGGTTAAAACGCTGAACTGCAGGCTGTGGAAGGTCAGTAGTTCAGCAGTTCGAGACCCGGGTACCGCATGATGGAGTGAGCTCCCATCTCTAGTTCCAGCTCCTGCCAACCTAGCAGTTCGAAAGCAAGAAATTGCAAGTAGATAAATAGGTACCACTTTGATGGGAAGGTAACAGCGTTCCGTGCACCTTAGTGTTTAGTCATGCCGCCCACATGACCACGGAAACGTCTTCGGACAGTGCTGGCTCTTCGGCTTAGAAACGGAGATGAGCACTGCAACCCTAGAGTCGGATTCGACTGGCTTTCGGGATTCGACTGGCTTTCGAGCAAGGGAACCTTTACCTTTTTTACCTTGTACAATAAACCCATCTTGCAAAAAGCTCTTACTTGAGGCTTAAAGCTCCATGAGACACTGGTGCCATCTAGTGGCCAATATGTATCTCTCTCTTTTTTTGCTCCATATTTTGGCATGCCTGCGAAATGATTGGCTGACGGACTATCAGCCGCTTCCAGAAGAGACCCATCAACCCCTCCTGCACCCATTCTTTGGCATAATCAAAAATATGTGAAATCTGCGATGATATGCACAAAATCATGTCCTCATATTCTTTATTAATTAACCTTAACCTACTGCCTTGGAGAGCTTGATCAAAATAGTTATAAATAGTTTAATTAATTATTAATCTGGGCTGCATTCCCTGATTTTACAGTCAGGAGAACAGTTTATACACTCAGCAGAAGTACAGTACAGCTTTTCCCAGAGCATATAATTTTTTTGGCTGCAGCCGTGTGAAAAGGCATGCAAGGATTTCATGCATGAAGGATTTCCCCTAAGATAGGGAAATACACCTCTTGAAAATACCAAACTAGTTTGTCAGCTATGATCTCCTTGGTATGCTGTTTTTCCACTGGCAGGGGTTTTCGACACAGAGGAACATTCAAACATGCCACATACACACCACCTACAAGGAAGGTTTCATTCTGACAATTGCTGGAAGCGCCCTTCACAAACACTTTGTCATGCATAAGTGTTCATTGTAAAGAGACAAACCTCACCCCCAACCCCTCCACCAACTAATCACTCTGCTTGTTAGTATCTTTGTTAAAAGTATAGCTGAGCCGTGTTAAGCGATTCTCCATAGGAAGCCACAGAAACTGGCAACAACCATGTTCGCTGTCACAGTGAACTCTTGATCCAGGGACTTTCTCTGCAGATGTTTCTGTTTGCACTAGTCCCCGCCAACTTGATCCTTTGTTCCGTATTTATCCCCAGACTAAATCTCCGACACCAGGTCTGTTGGGCTACCCGGTGACGTTTCTGTTAATTCGACAAGCGCTTTCTGGGCTGGCAGCCAAATTCTCATCAATGCCCTGGACCACAATACACACTGGGTTGTATTTCAAGTGGTATGCATTGTTTCAGCTGTGCTGGAGTAAGTTGTTAAAGATGATTCACACTGGCTTGAAGATCCGCCCTTTGGGGATGCATCTTAAGACTTTTCAGCATGATATATTTTGTTGCACCACGTCCAGTTGTGCATGCAGGCAGTGTTCCCTCTAAGCTGAGTTAGTGTGAGCTAGCGCATAGTATTTTAGCCATCTAAAGATTTTTGCCTTCGCTCAGGAAGGATGGCTCCAGAGCAAACTAATTTGTGGAGCAGCCAAATCTCTCGCTCACAACTTTAATGCCAGTAGCTCACAAAGTAGAATTTTTGCTCACAAGACTCCACAGCTTAGAGGGAGCATTGCATGCAGGGCATCCAAGAAGATGCCTCTGGGCCCTCAGCTGGGTGCACAAATGCCATCGCTGCCATAAACAATAAATAAGGATTTGGGAATTAGGATCAGTGGCTTGGCTAGGATTTGGAGACTTTGAAGTGAACCTTTTATTAGAGCCCAACTGGTACCCACTATTCAGTTGAGTGTGCAAGACACCGGGGGGGGGGGGAATGCAACTACCCAAAGTTGCAGAATCATCTTAATTATGGTGGCTCAGTGGTTAAGACACTGAACTGCAGACTGGAAGGTCAGTAGTTCAGCAGTTCGAGACCCAAGTGCCGCATGACAGAGTGAGCTCCCGTCTCTGGTCCCAGCTCCTGCCAGCCTAGCAGTTCGAAAGCCAGAAATTGCAAGTAGATAAATAGGTACCACTTCAGTGGGAAGGTAACAGTGTTCCGTGTGCCTCAGTGTCTAGTCATGCCGGCCACATGACCACGGAAATGTCTTCGGACAGCGCTGGCTCTTCGGCTTTGAAACGGAGATGAGCACCGCAACCCTAGAGTCGGATTTGACTGGCTTTCGAGCAAGGGAAACCTTTACCTTTTGTTGGGTTTAAAAAGGAAAAATTGGTATTTAGCATAGATAAAATAGCTTAGCAGTGCCAGAGTAAAATAATTCATACTCAGAGTCCATGGGTGTTTAAAATAGAAAGTTTTTACTACATTCTAGCATGGGGAAGGGTAACTGGGATGAAAATAACAATGGAGCTAAATCTCCGACATCTTTACACTGCAAAGACAAAACTAGAAGAGAGCGTTATGGCTTCTCTTACTTCTTCTTGAGAACAGCAAACAAAGACTGGAAGAGGAGCCATAAAATGCTAAAACACTTTGACACTTTACTTCCATTGAAACTCCCAGATCAGGGAGAATTTTCTCGGGCCTGTAGTCCTAAAACAGCATTGGGTACATGAAACACATGTGACTTCCTGTGAGCAACACAAACATTTAACCCCAGATATACTGAGTGTAATTTAACTTGTAATACCCAACACCTTTACTAATGTAATCATACGGGAGGGAAGGTAGCATGGTATACCCTGATCTCATCCAATCTTGGGAGCTAAGCAGGGCTGGCACTTGGGTGGGAGACCAGACCACCCAGCAAGGAATTTCCCAACCTGGAGCTGATCACCTTGTTCCTGCTGTGTCCCCGGCTTGTGCTTTGTGCATTATACAGTATGAAGAATATATGACATTTTACAAAACATATGAACGCAACTAAAGATTGCACGATGTTACACGGTGGTGGGAAGGGCCACCCAGTCACAGCTCACTTATGGCAAGTCTGCAAGGTTTTCAAGGCGGGAGTCGTTCAGAGGCGGTTTGCCTTTGCCTGCCTCTGCAGCAGGACCCTGGACTTCCCAGGAGGTCTCCCATCCAAGTACTAACCCTACCTAGTTTCCAAGATCCGATGAGACTGGGCTGGCCTGGGCCATCCAGGTTAGGGCGCTAGTTGACCTACAGAACACAAAATGGAGTGTCAACCCTTACCCAGCTTGGGCGAGGCTCCTGAATGGATCATAGATGCAGATTGCCGGGAGCTTCCTGGGTCAGTCTGCTGCTCTTACCTGCCGCTCTGTTTTCACCTTCACTTTCTGAGGGCCAAACTAGACACGATGGCGTCCTCAGCATGGTGCAGAGGTTACCAGGTTTGATTCCCTCCCTCCTCCTCCACATTAAGCCAGCTGGGTGACCTTGGCCAGTCAAAGTTCTCAGAGAGCTCCCTCAGCTGCACCTACCTCACAGGGTGTCTGTTGGGGGGGGGGGAGAAGGGAAGGAGACTGTAAGCCGTTCTGAGATTCCTTCGAGTAGTGAAGACTGGGGTATAAAACCAATGTTTCTTCTTCTTCATGGCTGCCACAGGGATGGCTCTACCATGTCAAATTCATGTTAAAATGTTGTGAAGGTTCAATCCTGATTGGACCTGCAGCACAGGGGTCTGAGGTAGTGTTCCATCTAAACTGAGTTAGTGTGAGCCAGCTCATAGTTTTTTAGCCTCCGGCTCACACATTTTTGTCTTAGCTCAGGAAGGATGGCTCCAGAGCAAACTAATTTATGCAGTAGCCAAATTGCTCGCTCACAGCTTTAATGCCGGTAGCTCACAAAATAGAATTTTTGTTCACAAGACTCCACAGCTTAGAGGGAGCATTGGGCGGTGCTCCTGTTCTCTCCACCACTGCACCTTATCAAGTTCAAAATGGCTGCAGTCCCCCCCCCCCCACTGCTTTGGCTCTTAAAAATGTGCTTGGGGGAGAGAGACGGGAACCGTTGTGGGCTTGATCAGGATTAAGCCTTTGGTGGCGGCCACGAGGACACCTTCGCACCTTGGCCCTGAGGCAGCCACGGTTGAACCTACAGTGCCCCAAGTGGTGGGGAAGGGAGACTACAGGGCCATGATGCTGAGACAGGCATAGCACTGGGATGCTGTTGCTCCAGGCATGGAACGGCGTCACTTCACAAGACCGTAAAGCAAAAGTGCGTGGATTCTGCCCCACTGAAACAGGCTTCCAGAGGTCTTACGTAATTACCCCCCTTCCTGTGGGCCACTGTGTCCTTGATCAGGATTAGAAATACCTTTTGGCCACCTCCAGTCTTGGATGAGTGTCCAAATTTTATTTTAATACCTCTCTCCCTGACAGGTTTAACCTCTGGGTCCTTTGGAGTGCCTGTGAGAATAACCACGACCAGTAGGAGGGGACAGAAGTCACACAATTTGACTTCCAGCCAGACTTTAAGGAGATTTAGGATCTCCTGTCTTAAAAGCTTGCGTTGGCTGGCTAGGAGTGTCGAGTGCCAAGGAAATGCCTGGCATGAACCACGGCCCAATCCGTCTCTGTCGCCTGACCGCCATGAAGGAACTTGCGGAATGTTCTGGCGTCCGCAGCCGCCTCAGCGACGACTCACATCCCGTTTTTCTGCCTCGTCTCCCACTCAGGTCGGAGCCGCTCGTTTAATTAGCTCTCCTTCTGTGGGCAGCTCCCCTCATTAGCTGGCTTCCCATCTTGACTGAACGGCGACTGCAGGGAGAAATCGGATGGCTTCTTGTACACAATGGAAGGAGAAAACACCCAGATTGGGGGTAGGGATGGGAAGATGGTCGTAGGAGGATGGGAGATTAATTAGGACATTAAGGACATTCAGGTTAAAAATATTCTTAAGGTGTTTTTAAAGGCTTTAAAGAAGGCTTGGGGAATAGGGTGAAAGAATTACATGATGACAGCGTGAAAGAATACATTGACATGCAAGGACGTGACTGGAGAGCTTATCCTGAAGGGAACAACTTCACTCGAGCCCCTGACAAGATCCCTCTGCTTCTTGTTTGTGCATCTATATCATACACCAGTACATGTATGATATGTTTTTAATCCCATCTTTTCTCTGAATCCTGTGGCAGAATGCATGCTTCTCCTCTATTTTATGTTCACAGCAACCCTGCAAGGTAGGTGAGGCGAAGAAAGTGAATAGAGTGGAGACTTTGAGCCTAGTTTAAGATCTAGATGCATATCATGCACACTAAAATCAACACACATGGAGGGAGAGGGACATGTGCATGCTGGTGCCACCTCCACCTATACATGAGCACAAGGCCTTTGCATGTAGGAAGTACAACTGCATACACATGAACTCCCCCACCACCACCCATGATCAGGAGCAAAGCAGGAAACAGTCGTGCACTTTCTATGTATACTTTCTATATACAGGAGCTGGCGAATGCATGTAGGCAGGGGCTGGGCCCAGTGTGTCAGAGCATGCGCAGAGTGCTTTGGATATGGGTTCTTATGCAAACATGTTCTTGTTTTTAGAAATAACATACCCGCAGGCCTGGTCTACAGATGCAACCATGAAAGGGTGGGAATGAAATCCAGTTTGCTGGTAAAGATCGCATTCTTGAAAGGCCCTCTGCCTAGAAAGAACCTCTCTGCAAGCAGAAAACTAGCTTATCAGCAAGACAGTCTTTCTCCTTGCCATACTGCTCTTCCTTTACAGGGAGCAGAGAACGTGATTTTTCACCAAAAGCACAGTCCATTTTACCACCTGATTTTGCCCCATGCGTAGACCAGACTTAGGTAGCAGCATCCTAATGAGAAAGTGGTGCTGTATTCATGGGAGAAGGTGTCGCGGCAATACTAGGTTAGTTGGAGGACAGCCGGAGTAGGATATCTTAATCAGTGATCTGTTTCTGATGAAAATTTTGTCTTCCTCATAACACTGGATTGTTGCACCAGGGAGAAGTCCTGATTCCCTTCACATAAGATACCTGCTTAAGCTGGTGGCGGTGCACCAGAAAGCTTTCTACTGCTTTCTACTGCATTGTGGATCAAAACAAAAGCCAAATGTATGTGTGACCGAATTCTCTTGTATCTAACCAAAACGACATGCCCTGTCCACAAAAAGCTAGCACATCAGGAAGGAACCATATGGTGTGAAGTAGTTCTTGAAGCATCTATATTGGTATAAGGTGGTGCGGAGTGTTTAAAAAGTAGGATCTAGTAGAAGTGGTAAAAGTAAAGAACAGCAACAAGGATAAGGGTATGGCACTTTCTGTGTGAAAGAGAAATCAGTTTTACATGATTATTGTGTAAGAATAAATTTGAGGGCATCCAATAAAATTAACCAGGGGAGATGTTAACAAAATAGTTTGACCTGTGGTATTCCTTGCCACCAGAAGATTGGCACAAGTTTATAAAAAGATACAGTTTTGAAACATTATTGTGTAGAGTACTTGGAATAGCCATCCTAATGCTTAAGGTAAAGGTAAAGGTTTTTCTTGCTCTAAAGCTAGTCAAATCTGAGTCTAGGGGGCAGTGCTCATCTCCATTTCCAAGCCGAAGAGCCAGCACTGTCCAAAGATGTCTCCATGGTCATGTGGCCGGCGTGACTAAACGCCAAGGTGCAAGGAACGCTATTTCCTTCCCACCGAAGCGGTACCTATTTATCTACTTGCAATTTCTTGTTTTTGAACTGCTAGGCTAGCAGGAGCTGGGGCCAGAGACGGGAGCTCACTCTGTCATGTGGCACTTGGGTTTTGAACTGCCGAATTACAGACCTTCTGGTCTGCAGCTCAGCGTCTTAACCTCTGAGCCACCGTGGCTCCTATGTTCCTAATGCTTAGGGTGGGCCATTTAGAGTTTTATCATTATTCTGACCTGTTAAAAATCCCCCAGATTAGAGACATAGAGTCTTGCCCATCGCTGTGATTTCTGCCTCCCAGAACTGCATGCTTTTTTGGGAGGGAGGGTAATCGTTTTGCTTTACATTGTCTGTTTATACTTGGGTTTAGGCCATGGCTGAACACTTTTGCACTTTTTGACACATAGTGGGGGTGGGAAATGGAGTGGGCAGGATGCTACGCGGAAATCCCCCAGAGCCTTTTCTCAGGATTGTGGTATACATGGGGTTTAAGAACAGTTGTTTTTTATACTGTTTACAATTCCCTTCCCTTCCTCTCCTCACAACAGACACCTTGTGAGGTAGCTGGGGCTGAGAGAGTTCTGAGGGAAAGGAGACTGGCCCAAGGTCATGCAGCAGGCTTCAGGTGGAGGAGTGGGGAATCAAACTCGGATCTCCAGATGAGAGTCCACCACTCTTAACCACTACACCATGCTGGCTCTCTGGTTTAGGGTTTTACTTTTTGCCAACAGATCCAATGAGTTGAGACGCACAGGTCCTGTGGTACAAAATCACCAGAGGGAGGGAGGGAGGGAGGAAACTTAAGTTTCACTAGTGATGGAAGAAAACCAACTCAGCATTCCTGAGCAGAGCCTTTAGCTTAAGAAATCTTGGTGTACCCCAGTGAAGCAAATAGCACCACTCAGGGCTATTTCAGCTTAGAAAATGGGATGGGGGGGGCAGCTGAAGCCCCTTCTTCTTGCGCACCATGGTTCCAATATGAATTGGGCCTGCAGGGGGTGGTGGTTATGAAACGTGTGCCTGATCGCATGGGGAAAACGTAATGTGCAGTTAGGCCCTCGTGGCCATGAATTGCACGGTTTTGTATGAGAAAAACGGGAAGCCAAAAGTCCCAGCAAGAATGGCTCATGGGATGAGAAGTGTGCCACGCTGCTCTCTGCCTCATGTGGATGCCAGCAGTTGATGGTAGTGGGGTAACAGCGGGTTCTGTAACTTTTCCACATTACTGTCAGAGCCTGAAATCTACTAAGGGTGTGTGTGTGTGTCTCTTTGTGTTTTGAAGGCCTCACACAAGCTGGAACGATTGCCGGAGCCATTATCGGGGTCCTCTTAGCTCTTCTACTGCTTGGTGCAGTTGTGATCTGTTTCTTACGCCACCAAAAGCAACGGAAACAGAAGAAAAAGACACAGTCCATATACAGCGGGAATGAAATAAGGTTAGAGCCACTGACTAATGTCTACCTTCCTCCTACTGTTTCCCTGGTATAAAGCGCAAAGTATTCTTGCCTAACGATTCCTTACAGGCTGTCCCCAAAGGGAAGTGGTCCAGAAGCTGAGAGCCAGAAGTCAGAAACAAACAAAAAACACACCCCAACACACACTGAGGGTGTTTTTGACTGGTGGCGCAATGTACAGATGAGAATTTTCTATAGTGCAATGCCTAGTTTTGTCGGAGCTCAGAAGCAAAGCAGGGTCAGCCCTGGTCAGTATTTGGATGGGAGACCACCAAGGAACAGGAAAGTCGCACACAGAGGCAGGCAATGGCAAGCCACCTCTGTTCCCCTCTTGCCTTGAAGACCCCATGAGGGGATCGCCAACTGTGACTTGATGACAAAACAAAACAAAACAAAACTGGCCCTCAGCCCACAAGGCCTGAGCAAGGCTGCTAACAGGAGGATGTTGTGGAGGTCATTAATTCATAGGGTCCACCATAACTCAGAAGTTACTTGCTGCCCCTCAATGCACACAATGGAAAGTATTCCCACTTGACTGCCATCATGCTGTAAATCCTAATCTAGCAGGTAACCTGAAAACCAAACAAGCGTAAAGAGAAAACTGGACAGGAGGGCTCATGGAGAGGGGAAATCCTTTTTCCTAAATGGGACCGTTTCCTCTAACCTCTTGTGAAGTTCGGAAGTGGGCAACGGACTAATGAGATGCAGACAGCTTTCTGGTCTAATCGATTTCGCCCTAAAGGAGAGTTGTTTGTTCGTTTTTTTAGAAAAAGCTTTCCCATCTGTTCTTGTCTTTTATGGCTTTTCAGGGTGGAATATATAAAAAAAGGAAATACTAATACAAGTTAAATTTACTCCACACATGTCACATGGATTCTTATTGTGGTTAGTAGCTCTGTACCCTGTCAAAACCCCACCAGGGTAATTAATTTACTTGTAAACAAAATGATGCATTTACAGACTCCGCCACCAAAGGATGTGTTGATGGCTGCTGGTCTAGATGTCTTTGAAAAAGGAATTAGGCAAATTCACAGTCAGTTACTAGTGGCAAGCCTCCATGTTTCGAGGCGGTGTGCCAGTGAATGTCAGGCGCTGGGAACAAACCGTAAAGGAGGAGGTGTTGCTTTCAGGCCTCCCCGTGAGCTTCCCTGAAGCATTTGGCTAGCTACTGTTGGGAGTGGCAGGATGCTGAAATAGATGGATCTTTGGTTTGATCCAGCCAGGTGATACTTTCTGGAGGGAATGGACTGTGTGATGTCCCATAGTGCTGGCACAGATATCAGGACTTCAGAGGAGGGCAGTAGAGTCGGTAAGGCTAGACAGGCCACTTCCTGTGCCTTTCCTTCGCTCCACTCGGCTGCTGTGCCTTTGCCACAAAGACTTGGGACGTCCTTCCAGCTCTATGTCTTTCATGCACTGTGAGAGCTGGACATGGTTTCTACAGTCTATCCATTGTAAATCAGATAGATAGCTAGAAACCTTTACCCTCTCTTGTCAGGTATGGAGTTCTGTTAGAGAACTTCTGTATCTTTTCTAAAATGACAAGCCTCAGTGGTGAACTTATTCTTCAAGCAGCCAAGACAAAAGTTCTGCTGCACAAACCTCAGCTCCGCTTTCCCTTTTTATGTTCTTTGTAATCAGTTCCCATTGATGGAAATGGTGAAGGGTGAATCCAGGTGACCAGTTCTTATATTTGGTCAACTTTCCATGTGCCAGCCTGTACCTCTCCCCCACTCCCCTTTTGCCCATTCTGTTTGGGATGGCTACAGCCTTCATGAAAACACTCTTTCAATCACAGAGAATATGTGATTGTGTATCTCCTACAAAAATAAAACCAGTGATTTCAACTGTTTTGTTGCTGTGTGTCAGGCTGTTGATAAACGCACAGGAATAGGCTCAGGGGTTTTTTTAGGGTGTTTTTATTTTTTTGAAACTAGCAATCTTACCCAGATGGAATTCTTTGGACAAAATGAGTCTGTTCAAAATCAGTTTGTTCAGCACCTTATTGTTCTATAATCAAAATTATCAGTTTGGATGCCAGTGTGTCTCTTTCACAACAGTAGTTATTGGGGAGGAAGACACAAAATGGCTATCGGGAATACAGCAAAAAAAAGAAAGAAGGATTGTAAAAATGCAAAAAAATGACAGAAGTTCCCAGTTTTGCCATTAAAATTTGAAAGGCCAGATTAAAATTTGAACTTTATATGGAGCTGGTCCATGGGGTCGTGAAGAGTCGGACTTGACTGTGCGACTGAACAACAACAATGTGACATATCCCCTGTTATTGTAATTTGTATGTGTTGTATTTGGAATCTCTTGATATTGGGAGGTATCAAATGTCAAATCACATTCACTATCATCCACTAAATACCAAGTACCATCAAATGTGGCTGATGAAATACTGCCAAACACTAAATGGCAGTGTTATGGGATGTCAAATATTAATCTCAGATGTATGGTGAATATTTTTAAAAGGCATATTCAACATTAACGTTTCCAGAGGAGAATTCTGGAAAGCAAATCCAGTCTAACTCTCACCTGGAGTCAGTCAGTTCTGCACTAGGGAATCTGCCCCAGCAGAGGTCTGAAGGTTCACCTGCTGATGATACTGGGTTGGTGAGCAGCAGATGGTGTTTGAGTGCTGATAGCAAAGGCAGCAAGATTCCAGGTGTTGCTACATAAAAGGGCTATTTAAAATGCTAGACCCTTGAAACCTGATACAAAACTGGAAGTATTTCTGAAAAGTCTATGAAACTATTAATTTATGCTATCTGATGAAAGTTTTCCTTCATTACCTCCCCCCTCCGGTTTAAAGGGAGGATGCCACAGCCCCGGGGATCTCAGAAGATTCCTTAGAGAGAAGAGACAGCAAGTCGGAAAGCCACCTCTTGGAAAAGTTATCCTCCAGGCCTGGATCTGCCAGCACCACCAAATCACAACTGCAAAACATTCTTGTCTGAGCTTATATAGAGACTGTTTCTGGGGTTGTGTTTTTTTTTGGGGGGGGGTTGTTCTCTTTCATTGCAATGCAAATGTTTCCTCTAGAGACAACACGCTGCATCCGTTTTAGGCAGCCCTTTATTTGGTGTCCCCAATCTGCCTGCTAAGTTGCTGTAGATGAGATCAGTCTTTTGATGCTTTATTCATTATTTCTTAACCGCTGAATATTCAGTCGGTCTCTATGTCTGCTGGTAAAATTCCGTCTCAGCAATGGTTGTGAAATCTGCTGCTTTCTGGGCTGGGATGGCAACTTTTGCCCGAATGGGAAAATGCTCCCTTCACCCCCCTTCTAAGCAATCAGGAGAGTCAGACCTCACAACAAATCACGATTAGGGCAAACTCACTTGAACAAACCAGAGATTCCTGCTTGAACATTGTGTCCTCTGATCTGCGCCTCTGCCCCCTAATGCTAGATCATCATTCAGGACCATGATAAACTATGGTTTGTTTAAGATGTGCTTTGTACAGCAAACTCTGATTAGCAGCATTCTGGCCAGTGCAGGTTTTATGATTGTGTAACAAATATCTGGGTATCCCCATTTTTGGAGGCGAGGTGGGTAATGACAGCGGCAGAGCCTTTTTAGTGATGGTGCCACATCGATAGACTTTTCTTTCCCCCAGAAGGCTTACCTAGCGCCACCTTGGCTGGTGTTCAGGCATCAGGCAAAGGCTTTTTTCCTTCTGTTCTTGGTCAAATTGTGTTGTCCAGTATTTTACCCTAAGATCTTATAGTTTTTATACTGCTTTAGCTGAGTTGCCTTTCATTGACATTTTAATCTGCCAATGTTACCAGTGCCATTTTTAATGGAAGGACGTTTACAGCTCTGTCTGGCTCCTCCACCTTTTTTAAATATTCCAGTTTAATTAATTATACTGCAATAATGTGTATATTTTACTTATTTCTATGCACCACTTTGAACTGTCTGGAAAAGCAGGATAGCAATGCTTTTAATGAATAAATGACTGGAAACACACTTCATCCTGGAATGCTCAAGGTTGTGCGAGTAAAAAGGCACGGAAAGCTGATATAATGCCTGAACTGCTGGATTCTGTGCCTGGTGCCAGTTTCTCTCCTTGCATAACTGCCGAATCCTCAGAGCTCCCCTCTTGATTTCCCTGTGATAAGAATCCCTGCAACGTGCAGAAAGATCCAGGGTGCTCCAAGGTTTCATATCAACATTCCTTTATTAACATTCCATCTTGGTGGAAGAAATCACATGCAAAACCAAAAGGATATTTCGAAAGACGATTGCACTAACTCCTGCCGACTGTTAAAGATGCACAAGGACCGGGTAAAGAGCACGGGGTGTTTGCAAGCCAGAGGAAGGAACGGGGCATGATTGGGAGGTTGCTGAATGGGCAAGGAAAGTTCCCGCATGTTGTTTTCTTTAGAAATCCTTATTAGAGCTCCCTGGTTTCTTGGCATTTGTCTCTCCATTTCGGTTGCTGTCCCGCCTTTAACAGCTATAAAAGACAACACAGCCATTGTTTTTTGTTTGTTTGTTTTTCTCCTCTACTCCTCCGACAGCTCCATCACCCGCTCTGCTCTCCTTTCTGCTTTGAGGCAACACTGGAATCTTACCTTCAACAGGTAAGAGGTAAGAGTGGGGGGTTGGATGAGAGGGGAACAGACACGAAGGTGAAACCCTGGCTGGATGGTGCTTCTTTTTCAGTGGCTGGTGTGTCAGGGAGCCTAGACTTCTTTCAGGACGGCCATCTACAAAGAGCATACAATTAGCATTTCAGCTGTAATGAAGAATGCAAGGTTTGGGGAGGGAAGGGTGATGGGGGAAAATGAAAACTGGATTCTGCATCGTGGTTTCTAAAACTAAGGGCTGTGGGATAACCGTGGCGAACAATTTGTACACTATAGATCGGGAGGCAAATTGGATCCCACATCAATGAAGGCTTCAAACGCCAATGGTGGAATCTCAGAAACCATGAGCTCCCCACGGGCCCACCAGCCCGAAGAACTTGGGAATCAGGGACCCTGTTCCACAGCGAATGTTCAGTTAATTGCAAGAGTGCTCACCACACCATGGAAACGATTGAAGACATCGATAGAATTAATATCTCTACTAATGAATGCGAAATGTTCAAAGAGGCGGCTGGGTTAAAAAAAGAAGGTTGGCTGCATGACGTCCTTAAAGGATATTTTTTGAAGCCGTGGAATGCAACGGAATAAGCAAGCATGCAGCATGCAAGAAAGGACTCGATGGACCCCCAAGTTGCAATGAAGGGAGGGGTGGTGTATTTCTGTCTTGATTGGAAGGAGACAATAGAGGGGGTTTGTTTAAGAGGGTTGAAGGTGGTATGAGAGCGGTGCATGCGCTTACTTCTTCCTACTTCTTCCTCTGACAATCAGATAGTGCAGGATCAACACTCACTCTTGCTCCTTCCCATCCTGCACGCTTCAGGAGAGCTGTCCACCATATATATATTTCAACAGGCCAAATACACGTGTGTGTGAATTTATCCTTCACCTTATCAAAATAAAACGGAAGAGGCTTAAAAAAATCAGTTGCATAACTATTCCAGGGATGAACAGGGCAGTTAAGTCGGTGATATCATGGTTGCTAATCAGTAGGCACCCATCGCATCCCCTTTGTTTCTGGCACACTGGAAAGGGGCAGCATCATTTTTGTTTTCCCGCAGAGTTTGCTCCAGGACAAAAAAATGTCTGAGTTTTCAGAACAGGGGAGATGCTTTCAAATCCTCTCTATCACAATTACAACGTTACATCTGGTTATAGGCGGTGATGGTTAAAATTTGAGAGAAAGTTTTCAAGGCATTCTTTCCAAAAGCTGGCGCAATCTGGAGTCAAGACAGATCGTGTTAAGTGTGGTAGAGACGGTTTGAATGTATCTACACTGCACTGAAAATTCTAGTATCTGCCCTCGAACAAGCTCTGGAAATACGTTTCTGCGAGTTCACAATGCATCAGGTACACGGAAGCTGTGCTGGGTACCTATTGGTTAGAGCCTGTAACATCAGCACCATACCTTCCCTGAAAATTCCCAGAATTTTTAAAGATTTTGGTAATGTACAGGATAAACATATATGTGTATAGATACACATATACCTTTAAAACACATAGCCTGCTTGAAGCACACGAGGAGAGACAAGAGCGAGAAGGGACCCACCATTCAATTTTACTTACTCACAAACACACATGTGTATGCGAGTTATGGAGCTAGATTCATACCCCAGATGCAGAGCTTGTTATAAATATCATGTCTGTCTTTGCAGAGGTTGCAGTGGGTGAAAGCTACATGTGTGCCAGTACAGCTGTCTTACTGTTCCCAACTCTGTTATCTGTCTCGTTCCTGCTGGCCAGTAGCCAAAAGGGCTGCAAAGAATAATGCAAAAGGTAACCTCTCCCCCCACTGTCTATTTCGCTTAAGAAACTGGGGCTCTGCAGGAAATACCCAAAAGTTCTACAGGGCTGGCGAGGGGGATCAAAGAAGTAAGATAAAAGCGAGCACAAAAGGTCAAGGAACACAGGGTGGGCTATCAGTTCTGCAAATAAATGCATGTGCATTATATGTTTATGTGCAATGGACGTGTGCAACACAATATGGGATCTAGGAGCTGAGGAACTGGTATGTGCAGAGTGAGGACGGAGTGCGAGCGCAAAGGAGGACTTCAAGGTCTGTGTGATAAAGGGTAAAGGAGGGAGCATCAGCATCATGTTTCAAACAGAAGGGATGGTAATGACGGTTCCGGAATCAAAGGCAGTTCGGGGAGAAAGCTGCAGAGCGCTGTGTCTCTTCTGTGGTCAGACTGGCTAGGCTGGTGATTGCTCTTCTGGAAGCTGGAAGGTGCTGTTCAGAGGACCAATCAGGAACCTGGCTGGATGCTGCTGTTTCATCCACTTCTTCATAGCCACTGCAGGAAGGAGAGAGACTGGTTAAATGTGCACTGTGCAGGCCGCATTCAGCATGCTGCCCACCCTAAGAAACAATAGAAAACCCAAAAGAGACAGAGCAGAACAATATGCAGCCTTGAACTTCTGGTTCTTAACTGAAAGTAGAAGCTCACGGATTTTTTGACAGAACGTCCCGTTGGGCTTTTGGAAATTCTCAGTAGGTCCCTATTGGTATCAGGATCCGAGTGTAAGAGGTGAGGTCATAGCTTCTTTGCAGAGCAACTGTTTTGCACACGGCCGTGGAAAGTGCCATCAAGTTGCAGCCACTTTATGGTAGGGTTTGCAAGGCAAGAGAATGTTCAGAGGTGACCTACCATCACCTGCCTCCGAATAGCAACCCTGGACTTCCTTGATGGTCTCCCATCCAAGTACTAACCAGCGCTGACCCTACATAGCTTCTGAAATCTGATGAGAGTGGGCTCACCTGCACATAGATGGTCCCCAATTTAATCCCCAGCATCTACAGTTAAAGGAGGGAGCAGGTGCTGGAAAAGACCTTTCTCACCTGTGTCTAGGGAGCCGCTGCTGGTCTGAATACACGATAATGAGCTAGATGGACCAAGGGTCAGATTAGACATGAAGCAGCTTCATAAGGTCACCTGTCTTGCCTGGCTAGCCCTTGAAACCAGCTGGATCTATTTTCATCCACAACATCAATAGCTGATGCAGGGATCTGCACCTCTCCCTGGATGAAATTACGTGCTCTCTATGTGGATGCCACCCACATATCCCTTAACTGTGGACCATGATATGTCTGCAGTCAAGTAATGCAATTCCTTCATACATCCTATATTCATCATCTGCATCATTTGTGGACAACACTCCTCTCGCGGTTCGGTTCAGTCTCCCTGAGAGCTTCACTAACAGGCAGCAAGCACGCCTTCCAAGTGGGCAAGGAAAACTCACAAAATGCAGTCTTTGGCATAACATCTTTCCCCTCCTGGCTACAAATCTGCATTTTATAGGGGAAGCAGCAGGATCTTTGCAATATTAATGACACATTAGTTTGTTTCTATGCAGAAGGCCACAGCTGGAGAGAAGCTCCCCTAATCAGAGTAAAGAAATGATTACAGAAGCTGATCCTTCGAATGTCTACAGATGAACATAGGACAAAGTTTGAGTCCAGTGGCATCTTTAAGACCAGCAAAGTTTAATTCTGGATATAAGCTTTCATGTGCATGCACCTTTCTTCAGATACATTTTGTGCATGCACATGAAAGAAGAAGAAGAAGAGATTGGATTTATACCCCGCCCTTCACTACCCAAAGGAGTCTCAGAGCGGCTTACAAACTCCTTTCCCTTCCCCTCCCCACAACAGACACCCTGTGAGGTAGGTGGGGCTGAGAGAACTCTGACAGAAACTGCTCTTTTTTTCAAGAACAGCTCTGACAGAACTATGGCTTGCCCAAGGTCATCCAGCAGGTGCAAGTGGAGGAGTGGTGAATCAAGCCCGGTTCTCCCAGATTAGAGTCCACGCACTTAACCACAACACCAAACTGGCTTATACCCAGAATGAAACTTTGTTGGTCTTAAAGGTGTCACTGGACTCAAACGTTTTTCTGCCGCTTCAGAACTACACGGTGACCCACATGAATCTACAGATGATTATATTAGTGGTGACTTCCCAATACCACAAATGGATATAACATCAGTAGAAATTATAGTAAAGATTTATGGATATCAAGACTAATAGTAATTCTCTTCCTTTTATGTATTTCTTCCTTTTTTGTTTGGTTATTTCTTTTCACTTCTCTTCAAATGTTGGATGTCACATAAAATTGGTTAACACACAAAGATACACTGTTGACTGCTCTAACAGTAGAGTAGACATAACTTCTCACCAATTTCCTAAGTTATGTTAGACATATACATTGAATTTTCAAGTGTTGTATTGTCATAGTCAACGTATTTTGATTCCTTCAACTTGATATAACTTTGTAGTTAAAAAATTCTTTTTTCCTTTATGATGATGTAACAATTTATGAAAATTAATAAAAAAAATAAATATAAAAAACCAGAGTAAATCCTAGCCCCTCTGCTACTACTCCACCGATCAAAGGTGAAGCCTTCCTCCAGTTTTAAGTAGCTCTCTCGCTGAAGGCTATTTAAGTTGGAGGGTAACTGGGTCCACCCCATTAAATCTGCTAGCTCCCCCCACCCAAGCCACTGGTTCAGTTAGGGTTACCAGATGTCCTCTTTTTAGAGGACATGTCCTCTTTTTTTGGTGTCTGCTCTCTTCTGGGCTATTAAAAAAAAACCTGATTGACATGTCCTCTTTATGCCTAGTCAGTTGCAATTATCACAGCTTAAATAGTAGGCATATTTAAAATGAGATTTGTCATAGTGATCACTTGTTTGAAGTAGTCAGTTTGGGAAATAGTCCTTTTTTTTTTGCTTTTCAAAATATGGTAACCCTACTTTAGTACAGCACAACAAATGCATGACAGTTCCACAGGATCTAAGGCTCTTCCTTCAAGGAATGCCATTTTGGGGGGTGGGATTGCATGTTCCCTGCAATGTATTTATATTCTGGTGTGACTGGGGAAATGTTTTCTTTTCCAGGCAGCAGGGCCATTGCACTTTGGAGTGCACACAATACAATACAAGCTGTTCACAATACAAGAACTCGTGGGCACTCAATGAAATAGCTGAGCAGTCGGGTTAGAACAGATAAAAGGGAGTACTTCTTCACCCAAAGACTGATTAACACATGGAATTCACTGCCACAGGAGGTGGTGGTGGCTACAAGCATGGACGGCTTCAAGAGGGGACTGGATAAGCATATGGAGCAGAGGTCCATCAGTGGCTACAAGGTATAGATAGGAACTCTCAGTCTGGGGCAAGTGATGCTCTGTATTCTTGGTGCTGGGGGGGCAACAGTGGGAGGGCTTCTAGTGTCCTCCTGGCCCCACTACTGGACCTCCTGATGGCACCTGGTATTTTTGGCCACTGTATGACAGAGTGTTGGACTGGATGGGCCATTGGTCTGATCCGACATTGGCTTTTCTTATGTTCTTATGAATACCTCTTGAGACTGCTGAATTACAACTGATAACAAAGCTCATTACAATGCATCCACCTGGACTTAACCGGGACCTAGGTTTCCTGTCTCATTACCAATGCTGATTTCCCCACACCTACTACTCCTCTGCATATCACACCTAATCCAATCACACCTGCTATTGTCATTTACCTGCTATTGTGATTTGCCTGCTAATGTCATTCGACATCTGAAATCACTCCACTTTCCAATATGGAGGACAGATGGACTCACATTCTAGTTGTATCTGGAGAAGTGACCAGTGACTCATGAAAGTTCATCCCCTACCACAAATTCTGTTAGTCTTTAAGGTGCTACTGGACTCTTGCTCTTTTCTACTGCTACAGACAAACTCACATGGCTACCTGTCTGGATTTATCTTCTTGGGTTGTGGTTGCATTCGAATAAAGAGCAAGGACACTTATGGGATGGTGCTGCTGCATCACTGATGACAAAGCGCATGCCTCCAGCCGAACCCATTTACCACGGAGTAACCCCAACACCAGCACTCATTCCGCAAAAAAAGAGAGGGATTCTTGTTGACCCATATCTTTCTCCTCACAGTGATCACCTTGTGAGGTCAGTGAGGCTGGGAGAGATGAACTGGCCCAGCAAGCTTCCATGGCAGAGCGGGGAATTCAAACCTGGGCCTCCCAGATCCCAGGCTGACCCTCTAAGAAGGCTGAACACTGAGAAGGATGAAGGAATGATTCTGCATCTAGCATTCGCTCCACATTTTCTCAACTGGGAGGAAAAGGTGCAGCTCAAAACCACATTCAAATACCTCAGGGCAACACTGTACTGACTGCAAAGGCACCCCTGAACTGCCATAAAACAGCCATAAATCTATGCAGAAGGTACCATAAAATCCAATGATCAAAGAAAGCGAAAGCGGCATGGAGTGTGGAGGGTACCATAAAATCCGATGATCAAAGGAAGTGAAAGGAGCATGCAATGGCAGAGGGGGATTTCTGTTCCAACGTGGGTTTCGTAAAACAATGGAGGGAAAAGCCAATGCAGGATCAGCCAAGGTATATCTGCAGGCTGCCTAAGGCCTGCTCATGTGTTACAATAAAAGTGTGTTTTCCTCCTGCATGTACACGTGTAAGAAAGCTGCAATGCATGTTCACTTTACACATGAAACCAGGGACCAGTAACCGGAGAAATATGTGGTTTGAATCACAGATTCAGTTGTACATATGCTGAATGTAGCATGAGAAAAAACTCAATGCACCTAGCAATTACAATCAAGCGAACACTGTACATGGATTTCACATGTGTTCAATGCAACGTGAACTAGGCTCAAGGGTACACTGTGTGTGGAGTGTATGTGCCTTTGTTGTAACTTGTTGTAACTTTGTTGGGCTCAAGTTGACTCCAGAATGCGAGCCTCTCGGACCTGGTTCATTCGTGTGGGAATTGTGGTGGTGGAAAGTGCCACCCATTCACAGCCGACTCATGGCAACCCCTGCAGGGTTTTCAAGGCAAGAGACATTCAGAGGTGGTTTGCTATTGCCTGCTCCTGCGTTGCGACCCTGGTATTCCTTGGTGGTCTCCAGACGGTAGTCGGTGGGAAAGGCAGCATATAAACATTTAAGTAGAGAGGGTGATATTTGAAGACAATGTAAGGAGTGGTAGGGGATTAGAGGTTAAAAATCATTAACTTGGGTCCTTTCCGCATTTGCCTGGCACTCCGGATTTCAGTGTTCGAGTTGAGGCCATTTATGCCCACTGCAAAACAGCATCCAAGTAACCCAGGGCAACAGCAGGCTGGAAACGGGCTGACCACTGAAGAGAGGTAATGTAATGCAGAATGGGGGGGCGGGGGGACAGAATAAAAAGAAGGCTGAACTCGATTTTAGTGCAGAATGGGGAAAAACATGGATTAAAAAGAAGGTTGAATTTGATTTTAGTGCAGAA